TGTCCCACCATGCATCGTGTGATTTCTGGCTGTAATTTCTGTCTTATTAAGACTCCTTGCTACTGTTCTCTCTCTACTGAAGATCTATTTTATCCGGCACCCTTTGGTTCATGTCGGGCTTATCACAATCAAATCACACATCTACATCCTGTCAATCTTGCTCTTCTTCAACACTTCTTTGATGACTCTACCCTCTCTAGCATTGCTGGTGATACCACCTTTCGAAAAATGGTTAATTTCTCAATTCCAAAATTTAACATTTTTTCGCATGAAATTTCTAGTGTTTTGGCCAATGATCAAAAATCGCATCTAAGTCTGAAACGTGTGGCAGAAAGCGCAAAGAAAACTGAAACAATATTTCAGTCTATTGCGGAGCCTCTACTTGATGGGCAAATCACCTTACCAAGTTCCTGGCCAGATACTAATGCCATAATTGCCATAACAGCTTCAGGTACTTCAATTCTTTCGATTATCTTGTGTATTTGGATGTTTTACAAAATTCGTGCACTCTCTGCAGCACTGTTATTGGTCACTCAGGTTTCTCCAGTAACAACGGTACAACCCCCATCGTTGAATTATAATCCCCAAACTACTGCCAGTCCCAGCTTCGTTGTTTCTGATCTTGCAGACTACCATGTCTCAATTCTTCTGGGAGTCATCACCCTTGCTGTCACCTCTATTCTTCTCCTCCTAATCTATCAACGCAATACTCGCAATACTCACAATGGTCTCGTTCTGGAACTCACCACTGGTCCAGAATGTGTCACTGTCCCTATTCTGTCTCTTAGCCTCTGCCCATCCTATTGGGACGTGCAACCTCCTTTTACTGTAGAACATCTCCGTGTCTCAGGGTACTTCTTTCCCACCCTCACTGTCGACTGGCCTGCCTTCACAGTCACTAATCTTCTGACCAACACCGCACTAACTGTCCCCAGCACTCTGCAAGTCTCTTTCTTTACTTCCCGTAAGCTCCAGAGAATGCTCACCCAACCTTTTGCTGCCTACATCTTAATGGTTCATGATGGTCGTTATCAAATCATAAATCATTCCTCCATGTCAAAAGAATTTTAAGTGGGCTGTCTGCACAGTACATACCTAGTGTCATATCATTATATTGTTTGTACATTCTTTCACTGAAGTTTATTGTGTGCTTTGTATTGTATGCATTATAGTATCGTTACGTCTTTGTGTTTACAATAGCAGAAGCTAAACAAAAGGCTTTTATTGGTCAAAAGCTCCACGACGCCCAGGGGTACTATAACAGTGCCAAAATTGACCTTACTTGTCTTCAAGTTTTTATCTATTTTTGATTTGTTTTACAATCTTATAATTTTACATTCTCAGTCCAGTTAAGGCATATAGTTTTCAGAACCTAATCAACTATTCTCAAATCTATACCATTCAAGCTGCCAGAACCGGACTAGCGACTGTGGGAGATTATAGTAAGTGTTAGGCCACTGCTCTTTGTGTCTCATACACACAGTGATTAACAGAGTAGGTGCATTGTCAAGCTAGACACGGCTGGCCAACCCAAAACAATTAACAAAGGCCACCGACCCGAACGGTAACATTCCAGCAGCGATTATGTTTCCAATTAGCTAACTTTGCCCCAGCTTTGGCTACCCAGCTTTGTCAAAATTGCGTAATATGACCAGTGTGACATGCGCTCTTCAACTTGCTTTCAAATTCGAACAGGAGATTCGGGTATAAATACAGGTGTAGCTCGCCACTGAGTTATTCCTGTTTTGCCTGAGATCCTCTCTGTTTGTATTTGAAGGTAAGTCACTTTTCTTGTTACTTTTCATTTTGTTAAATTTGCTTAAAGTCCTTCTAACCGTGTTACCTTGCTTGAACAATGAAATCATCTTACACATTCTAAAGTGCTGCTCGAATTTTCCGTTTAGTCGCTATATGTTAATTCCTTGTAGTTTAAATATATAATGAATAGGTTATGAATAATAGCGAATCCCAGATAAGGAATCCTTACTGTCCTAGGCCACCATTAGAGTACCAGAAGCCTAAACTATCTCAGCTAGAATATACCGCTCACTTTAGTTACTGGAGTCGTGGATGCCGATCGTCAATACATGCCCAACGTGTGTAACGTTTAGAACATATTCCAAGAATCTGTATTTTTATCTCTGCCATATAACTTGTGATATTGTTTGTAATGTCTATACGAATATTGTCTACAGCCATGTATCTATTTTCTGATTGCCGGTAGCAGAAGGTATTTATTTAAAGATAACCAGTCTGTGACCGTATATGTCAAGAATATAATGCTCTTTCTATAACAAAATGCGCACAGATATGGCAATGTCTTTTAAATATATATTCATTTAATGTATCTGAATTAACTAGAAGCACCGGTCGTTTTAGTGTTTTATGTTGTAGAGTAGTCACAAAGTGTCAGGCATCTCAATACTTAGATTAATGTTATAATGTTTAATTGTCATGATTTTTGTAAGTGTTTTACACAATGTATATTGTAACATTACATTGTGTTAACGATGAACAAACGAATTGAATGGATTTATGTAATAAAATTATTCCTGTTTTGCCTGAGATCCTCTCTGTTTGTATTTGAAGGCGTGGAGATCCCGGAGCTAATTCCCCGTAGCAATTCTAGGTTTAAGACAGTAGCGTAAGCTAACTGTTTCACTAGCACAGACTGAAGCTGGTTTTATAGTGCTAGCCCACTGAGATACCATGCCGCAGTGAAGCATGAATACCCCACTCAGACACATTATACTGACTCCGAGCCGACCAGTCCTTGTTGTACCCATTAATGCCGAGCGCCAGGCAGGGACCAACAAGTACCATATTTTAACGTCTTTTGGTATGACGCGGTCGGGGATCGAACCCGCGACCTTCCGCACTCCGGGCGGACGCTCTAACCACTACACCACGGAGGCGGTCTTTTGAAAGATACAGGACACAACTCATTCCTCAATATTATTACATTATGGTAATAGCCCTGAATATGTGCTGACGTAGAGCAACGATAAAACAGCAAAATGACAAAACATGACCAATATGCACAAAATTACCATCTACCTCATCATTTTTAACATGTACAAAATGAATTTACTTTTTAAGAACCGAAAATTATTAACATCAGGAAAAGCAACTAATTTACGTAAAATAATCATAAAAAAGTTGAACCCTGAAGTATTACTTCATGAATGTTTGAATTCTGGTAAAGATGTTACCCTGTAATATTGTTTTTTGTATAAAGAACACCTTGTACAAACAGAACTTGACTTGTTCCTCAAATGTAGCTGCAAGCGATATGACTGTTCACTCGGTTGTTGGGCACCAAATCGGGAATCACCAACGGACAAATCAACTACAAATACTATATGAAGCTCTTGTAAAATCGCAGCATGGTGCTCCTTTTCTTTACTTCAGTTGAGCTTTGGATTTGGTTGGTTGGTTTGTTGGCCTGCACTCAGTTGTATGGCTGCGGTCTGTAAATAACTGAGTCTTCACCAGACAATCCAGTGATCAACAGCATGACCATCACCCTACGCAATTGGGGTATGTTGACATGTGTCAACCAAGTCAGCCAGCCTGACCAACCCATCCCGTTAGTAGTCGCCTCTTACGACAAGCATGTATTTTTTTTATTATTATAGGATATTTATATAGCGCACATATCAAGGCAACTAGTGCATGCTCAAGGCGCTGGTATTTTTTCCCTCGGTCATTGGATGTCAATCTCAACAGCACATCGTATTATCAATCTCAACTCCCTGGGTAGTATACAACTCTTGCAGCCACTAGGCGCACCGAGTTATTGTGGCTTTCCCATCCTAACATGGGTTGCTGAAGACCAATTCTAACCCGGATCTTCACGGGACTAGTCGAGCTTGGAACAACTGTCACATATTGACATATGACCCAATACAGCCTCCACGTGTAACGTCGCATCGGTAATGAGAATATGTTGTGAAGAAGACGTGTTTGTTGTCGAACGTCACCCATATGACTTCCGTATGCCAGTACAATTTGGTGGACCTTACAATCCAATAAATAACATCATTCGATTCTAGAAATGTACAATGTCCTGCAAACAGCCTGATCCCCGAGCCTGACAACCTAATCCATTATGTCGGGAGCGGTGAGGTAGCCTAGTGGTCAAAGCGTTCGATCGTCACCTCCATGACCTGGGTTCGAATCCCCACATAGGTAAATGTGTGAAGTCCATTTCTGGTTTTCCCCGGAAAGCCGCGTAAAATTACTCAACCTTAAGTCGCCTTTAACGACAGCACAGGTTATGTGCTCTGGGCGTAGCAACAAAACCGACAACTACCGGTTTTGTTGAAAGTTATCATTATCTTCACCACCAGCTCAAAGGGCACGAATTTGTCAAGTTGCGGCTAGAGAGAGAGTTGGTGAATATGGTTTTAAGCCGCTTTTAGCAATATTCCAGCAATATCACGGCGGGGGACACCAGAAATGGGCTTCACACATTGTACCCATGTGGGGAATCTAACCCGGGTCTACGGCTTAACGAGCGAACGCTCTAACCACTAGGCTACCCCACCGACCCTCTTGATTAGATGTTCATATAAAAAACCAACATTTGTTAAATTCATTAAACGTTTGAAAGAATCGATTCCATTAATCAATGTCTCCTTCTACCATCCAGGACTTTACCATGGAGGCAGTTGTTCTTCAAACTTTAAAGATATTCTTTGCTCGTTAACATACCACCCCAACCAATGTTAATTAAACTGACCCTTCCTATCAAAGCGTCTATTTGTTTTTTGCTGGTACGTTTTGTCAGTGCTCCTGCTGAAACCACTTTAGTATCCGCCAGCCTGGTGCCAGGTGGAGACAACTCGACTCGGTCCAACAAGTTCCAGTATACGCTGGTGCACTCAAGGTAACAATCTGAACATGGCTTCATGCCTGCATCGTCTCTGATCAGGAAGTAATCACATCTTTGTGAACTATTCTCCTGGCTCTCCATGCATATTGGAGGTGAGGTGAGGTGGGGTTTAATGTCGTACTTAAACATATTTCGCTCATATGACGACGGGCATGCGTGTGTATGTGTGGCTGCTTGTACTAGCACAGACTTAAGCTGGTTTAATAGTGCTAGCTCAATGAGTTACCATGCAGCAGTTAAGCTTGAATATCCCACTCGGACACATTACACTTACTCCGAGCCGACCAGTCCTTGTTGTACCCATTAATGCCGAGCGCCAGGCAGGTAACAACAAGTACCAATTTAAAGTCTTTTGGTATGACGCGGCCGGGGATCGAACCAACGACCTTCCGCTCTCCGGTCGGACACCTTAACCACTACACCACGGAGGCGGTCCCATGCATATTGTTAAAAACTCGGCAATTCGACACCTAAAATGGGAGGCAAATGATAAAATATGTACATTCATTAATTATCAGTTTCATATATAATAAATTACACGTCCATAATTATTTTGTGTTTTTAATGATCGTAAGGGGCCGATGAAGTTTTGCGTCCACACGCTGCCAGTGCCATTGATCTTTTGCTTCTCTGAGAGTAGTAAAGTTGTTATTCAAGTAATGATGGTCATGGATTGTGAATATCGATATTCATAGATCGGTTATCGATTTCAATCGCAAAATAGACTCCCAACAGACGCATTGACTGAACGAACGTAACAAAATCATTATAATTTCTCACAACGAAAGGACAGACCGTCAAGGTTACTTCCTGGTTCTCGTTTGTGTCGTATACAAGCTGGGTAGACAATTCAAGTCAGGACCTTCCTTTCATTATTGTTACACATGTTCTTTTACGTTATTATGAATTTACGTGATTCGATATAAATAAATGCTAACAACTTATACACCGGTATAACCATTGTATGAAATAAGGCCCGTCCGACCGCCCAAGGCGGTCTAGATTTCTCACGGACGGTCTAAATTTACAGCAAGCCAGCCCGATGGTCTGGTAAAATCTTTAGATGTTCCATACATCTGAGTAAATTCACCATATTTGGTTTGGTTAAATCCATTTTGGGCTGGTAACATTTTGAAGTTACCAGCCCTGATGTCTGGCTGGTTTTTTGGCTTATTTCATACACTGGTATAACCCGTGAAACCCGAACCAAAAATGCATCGTCACAGAAAACTGTTGACAAATTTAGTAATGCATGTTTCCTACGCAGTTATCTAATAAATCTACATGTCCCCACAGAATTTGTACCGACCTTTTGGGGCGGCGGGGGAAGCCGAATGGGTTCGACCCGGGTGCGATTTCCCACATGGGTAAAATGTGGGAGGGCTATTTCTGGTGTCCCCCGCCGTGATATTGCTGGAATATTGCTAAAAGCGCCGTAAAACCATACTCACTCACTATCAGTTGAACAAGAAGCATAAATAGTTTCTGATTTTCTGGAATACACAATAAATGCACAATACCAGAGTAAAAGCTTCACTGTTTTCTTTCAAAAAATATTTGTACGTGGATAAATTTTGACATTAGGTGGTATCAAAGAGACCTTATCAGATAAGGCATCCAATTTACAATTTTAAATAATAGTAACGATTTGGAGGCAATCACTTTTGTCATCTCCTAGATTAAGATATTTGCCATTTTTACGGTTTCAAAAACATTTTACGCTTTTAGAATGTCACAGAGTGCAAATTGTGTCGATCATTTTGTAGCAATGCTGATCATTGAGAGCGAGGTCTTCGTTTGACATAGTGTATGGTTAATATTTGAGATAACTAGGAGTTACCATGTGTCTGTTTGATTGCTGTGTCATAACACACTCTAGTTAATTTGTCGAGAGATCAATCATATCACAGTTATGAATACAAAACTAGTATGTAGATCACCATACTAGGGACCATGGGGACTTACAGTACTCTTGCTTCCTGCACGGACGAATTTAAAGTATGTTTGAAACTAAGACCACACATATGTGCCTTTATGTTTCCCTTTGCCGAGGGCAGGAGATTGTAGGGTCATTGTATCCGCGATGGATGACAATCAAAGATCATATCTTGAACACTCGTCCTAACCTACAACTCGATAAAGTTATCCTAACAGCTCCACTAAAGCTCTAGAAGGACCACCGAGAAGGTGTCGCATTCGCAATTGCCGTCCCAAGTGTAAACAGACGGTGATCGATATACTCAGCTTCTACACACATGGTACTCCAGTTCTTCTTGCAATAGCAGTGGCACACAACGGCTTTTTGTTTCTCTCCCTGTAAAGAGGAAATGCATCATTCAAACACCAGGGTTACAGACAGTTAATACTGCAGCGATATGGCTGAGGTGGACGTGGCAACCGACATGTTGATCCTTCACTCGTCATGCTGGCAATCTGATCACTTTCCCGGATCCTCGTGGCATTTAAATGGGTTTACGTCTTGCAACGTCAAGAAGCTTATATAAATGTTTTGCACTTTGTATCGTGCTATTATAAGTGATCTGATGCGTAAAGAAACACGTCTTGTTTGAGTACATATTACATATATGTATAACTGATTGTAACAAGCGTGATTTTAAACTACTGTTAATAAAAATACAGTTTTAAATACCACAAAAAATTGTTTTGTTTGTCTCAGATTGGTATTAAGACCACAATGAGGCACCATGAGTTTGCAATCTTATGAAAGCTCTCAGTCCAATTATACTGGATGGGCCAGAACTATCACATTTTTGCTAAGCACATGGGAAGAATGGTTTGGGTAATGAAGATATAGATGTTTTGGATAGATAACGATGTATTAACTGAAGCGAGACAGGTTTCCTTCAGAAGATATGCAATTGTAGGACAAATGCTTGGTTGATCTGCTTTCATGTGTGACTCCCTTTCTCGTTATGCTTCCTGTCTCGAGTTGTATCTCTTCAGCAGTTGAAGATCACATCGATAGGAAGAGCCTTCGTCAATTGTGTCCCTTTTTGATTTCTCTGCTGACATGGCAGCCGATACAAAGGGCATATATGTGGAAATATTGTTCTGCAGTCTTGACAGGTAGTTTAATCATCTCGTAAAAACAATATGTACTACTTGAACTGAATGACTGAATTAACATGACATTACCACTTATCAATGGCGACAGTATAAACCTCAGGTGTGTGTGTGCTTTAATATTTTCATTAATCAAAACTATTTTCAAAGTTCGACGCCAATCTTTTGCGGAAACAAAACAATTATTATTTTTGTTGGCTTTATAAGAATTGGCCAATCCCGAGCGCATTCGTTAAGTTTGTTTAAATTGTTTTTCATAGAAGTTTCTATATATATCTTCAATGTTATTAGATGATATGTCCAAAGGAGTGTCCTCGGCAAGTAATCTTGATGAACATAATAATCCTTTTCAGATTGTCAGTTAAATCGTTCACGTACATAAGGAAAAGGACAAGGCTTAGTAACGATCCCTGTAGTACACAAACCTTTAATTCTTCAGAATCAGACAATGTGCCACTGAAAATGGCATATTGCTTGCGAGCTGTAACGTACATATAGACCACCAACCACTTAAGTAATTCGTCGTTTATATCATGATAATTCGGAGAAAATATAACCCCAGTATGTCATATGTAGTCACACGCTTTTGAAATATCACAGAATACCATAAAATATGACTCATTGTTGTCGCCTGCATTGTACACTTAATTATTGATTCTGCTACTTGGTGGACGGTCGAGTGATCGGCAAGGAGTCATGATTGGTACTTGTACTGCAACGATTTCTCAATGGTGCAACTTCTTGAACATAACTCGTTCGAAGACTTTCCCGATACAGCTTTTCAAGGATATTAGTATATAGGTGTTGGATCACCTTTCTTGAAACGTGGTATTACATGTGCCAATTTTCATTGACTTAGATAGTTACGTGTGACATTTAGATACTATACGTGAGTTGTAAAAAATAATTACAAGGTTTAATACCTTCCTTGGTCTGCATTGTGCCTACTGCTTGTGCCAGCCGTAATCACTGACATGTTTCAGTTATGGTTAGTTTCGCACATGCACATCAGCCCACCCAAAGTCATGTCATTTGTATCCACCCATCACTTAGTACAAGGAATTCCTGCCCATGCAAAAAAGGCCCATGAGCCTAAAATAGGCATTTCCCCCCTTCCGTTTTGAGGCCCATAGATTTAAAGTGATGTCCCTTGGTAAAGTCAGCCAGTAGCGCATGACGAAGTTAGCATCTGCAACGTTCTACGTGCAGTCCCACTGGACCACGGCGACAGGTAAAATACTTGACACTTGCGCCGAAAACGGGGATGATCCTTCATACGAGGAACTCTTTGAGTGTGGTAAAGATTCTGACTTTTGAGAACCTATAAGTAAAGCAATGTTGTTGACTGTTGCTTTAAAATGTTAAAATCGTTTGAAGACTATTCCAGTAGAAAGACTAGATCCGATTTTGAAGTTGATCGTAACATGCCGGACTAAAGCATAATACTTTGCAAAGAGCAGGGGAATATCATGATAAAAAGTATTTTTGGAGTGTGCTCGATGTTTTGGGCCCATTTTTCGAAAATCCACGATGGCGTCCAAGATGGCCGCCAAAAATCAAAGATTTCCAATTCTAACACTGTATGACTTCATATCATTTTGACAAACATCGATCTTTGTGATTCTGAAGTCTCCTTTAACAGTTCCCATTGCAGTTACAGAAGGGTGTGCATATAATTTGGGAAGATTTACTTCTTTTAGCATAGAGGTTGAGACATGCAGCCACATTTGATAAGTTCTCGACGACTTCGTGAAGCTTCTAGTAGTGTCATCCACACCGGTCGCCATGCGCTGTCGTTCCTTGTCCAACCAAACAAATCTTGCTCTGGTGCTTTCTGTCTGGGAAGTAAACAAGTAAGCCATATGCTGACCTGGTACAAGCTACCGTTTATGTGCTGTAGCAGAGTGTGGGAGGAAGGTTCTGCATCAACTTGATCTTGCGGCCGTGGCAGAACATTTCTTGTAGCAGTTCGTTGACTATGTTCACTGATGTAGTGCTGTCAGACATGCATGTGAATCGCTCAAGTGATGAAAACACTTCTGAGTCGTTGTCCACAGGTTGGAATGGATGCTGTGCAAGAAAAATATGTTTTATCATGATATTCCCTAGCACTTTGCAAAGTTTAATGCTTTAGTCCCCCAAGTATCTATTTTCACC